TCTTTTTTAATAAATTTGCAAAAATTTCTACATTTCTGTTTTTTTCTGTCAAGATGGGGTGCTGAGTGTACATTAAAGAGAAATAAAATGAACTTTTTTGATTTTACCAAATGGCTGCAATGAAACAAAGTCAAAAATTTAAAGGGGTCTGAATACTTTCCGTACCCACTGAATACATACGAAAATCAGGACCAACAATATATCGTTTCAAACTGCCGTTTGATTCCCTTCTTTATAACAAATAGCAAAAAGGCTTTGTTTACGCTCTAACAAGGTGCTTTGTGGATCCAACGTGTCATAATCTTTCCAGTCATTGGCTTTTTCTTTGACAGTAGACAATTCTTCAAAACTTTTGTCTTTTTACTTCTTACATTTCAAAAGGAATTATCAAACTTTTTATCTCTGTTGAAATACATGCCGTCTTTTTTTTTTTTATGAAGACTTGAGCGCAAACGAAACCTAATTTGGCAGATCTCAGGTAGAAGAGCGCTAGTTCAAAGCCAATTCTACCACTGAGAGCAGACTGAAGAAGCTCTCAAGCTAATAAATGTAAAGGCAAGCGAAGCAACATTAATCAGAGTTTTGTTATAGGTGGATGATATTGGGATCAGTGAGTTAGATATCATGAAGACATAGTCTGATTTCTTATCAGCCTATGTGATTCAAAGTGACAAACTCCTCTAACATATAAATCACACATTGCAGGAAGTGAATGCAGCAATCATACTCGTATTACGATGATGTTTAACATCCAAATAAATCATATAAGCTATTGCACAGCTACCCAGAAAATCAACTTTGCAAAAAGCAAATGTTGGATGTTTGTTCAAACACACTCACACACACATGCGCGCACACACAGACTCACTCAAAAGTTCATACAGAAATAACAAGTTATTTACAGCGTAAAAATGGCAAATGTACAGCAAGAACTCATCAAACTAAATTTGAACTGTTATAAGTGAGTGAATTAAAGATCAATGATCCCACCAGTAGCCTGCCAAAGTTTGCATCATCTATAAGAACTTGATAACCTATATTGCCTTTGCCATGGGAATCCTAAGACGGCCTGAACCAAGAAAAATAACATAAAGACAATAGCATATGGCCAAGTGGGAAAAATCCACTCTGTTGAGTTTTGGTCCAAAAAAGTAGCTCATTTCGGTCGCACAATTCAAAATACACTGAACCAGCTGTCTAACGGTTACCGTCTCTGTGGTTCTGGAGGTCCTTGGAATGAAGACATCTCGGTATCCCTACGGTCTGATCCGACCTGGGTTTGTCATTCGCATGGATAAGGCAAGTCAAAGCAAAGTGAAGAGTTCAAAGACTTCAAACTTTGGCAAGTATTGGCAATCCGCTGTTCCTTAGCTTAGATTTTACAATCTCTGTCATGCATCAACAGTCCGGTAAAAAGTACAATCGTTACTCTGATCGTGTACTAACGTTATTATGAGTGTGACTAATAATCCAGTGTCAAGCAAAGAAAAAAAAACAAACCCGGTGCAGCATTATCATTCAAGAAACATCATTATTGCACATGCTCGTATGAGAACTCCTACAGAGGAGCTTGAATACGCGTGTTCAGCCTGGTTCCATTTCAGCACTTTAACCTCTTTTTTAAAAATTTGTTTTTACATATTCTTGTGTACATCCTGCTCAGAAATCACAACCAACCAGATGTTTCAAAGCCTTGAGCATTAAATTGACCATACTCCCTTGTTTTTGACTTATTCAGTACTTCAAATTCAGTAGGTAGGTGCCTAGAAAAGCACCGTTAGGACCCAAAAAGAGGAGGCTTGTGACTAAAATAGAACCTTTCTCTGGCTTTTTTTTCTGCTTTTCATATCCCTTGGCTGATGTTTGACAAACGCATTCATAAGCTTCTTCCACAAATATAGATACAACTAGTACACGACTACTTAGCAGTGATCGCCTACGTCCTCTACATTCCTCCACTGTGTAGATACATCGTGGGTGTTATTGTTCTTTGCATTGCATTTGCAAAAAAAAAAATGTCCTCATTGATAAAAGTGCCACAAGAAGTAAACTTGCAATTCTGTGGCAGTCAAAGGTAGGATGTCTTGTCTTTGAGTGTGTCTGTTTTCGTTCAAGTGTGACCTCTCTCAAGCCACGATTAAACATGCATGAACATCTATTCCGTCCGCAGGCTGTCTGGCTCTCAAAAGAGGATGCTCTTAGATACAGATCAGGGGGTGTACTATAGAAACATTTCGATTTTTAACTCGCAAGTAAAGTTCTCTCAAATCTACGGTTCATTTTTCAAAATCCTCCCTTGTAAAAATATTTTTCAAAATCTCCTTATCTGGTTTAATTATCCTGAAAGTTTCTGTAATACAACCAAAAAAGCCCAAAAGGCCTTTACTGAAACCAGATTGAGAACACACACCTGGTCTGAGATCAGTGTCTGGGAGCATCCTCAACCAGCTCCGTCAGTAGGACGCACTTCACTGAAACCACCAGAGGGACATTTTAAAAACCTTCTTCAGTTACACACACGATGAGGCATACTGCCGACTGTATCACTCAAAGACAATAATGCATGTGGTGGGAGGGGGTAGAGAGTGACAGAAAATTGGCGAGCGGGTGAAGGGAGTTTGGTCAGGCTCAAAGGGCAGATTATACTGCACACGTATTGCCTGGAGGAGGGACAGGTGGAAGCACTCTCATGGCTGGACGGTGGTTGGGTGGGACAAGAAAGGCTGGTGTGTGTGGGGGGGGGGCTGGAAGGAGGGGGGGGGGGGCTGGAAGGAGGGCGGCTGTTTCAGCATAGAGGTTAGAGGTCAGAGGTGGTAGCATTGAGGCTGGTTCTTTAACAGTCTAAAGCAGGCATTGGCTGCTGCGCTTCCTCGCTGCCGGACGTTGATTGGCTGCAGCTCCGGAAGCACTGCTGGTCTTCAGGAAACTGCAATCAGCAGGCCGCTCTCTGGCAGCACCTCCTGGGTCCTCAGCTGGGTGTAGGGACAAAAGGAGAGAAAACTAGATGTACTTTATTATTCACCAATCCTCATACAGGCGGATACAAATGGACAAACTTCTGGCGAGGTGAAATGTTGAAGGGATAGTTCTACATTTTGGCAAATACGCCGATCTGCTTTCTTGCAGAGAGTTTGATGAGAAGGTCGATGGACTGTTATCTCAAAGAAACATCTAGCCAGTAAAAAAATCCACCTACTAGTTATGAGCTGGATCATTTTTTTCACCGGCTGCAGTAATTCTGAGATCTTTGCTCATTAATTAGTGTTAATTAGTGAGCTTTATAGGTGTAGGTAGGATGTTGTTATCTTCAGACAGAGACAGGCTAGTGGTTGCCCTCAGTTTCTACTTGTTATGCTAAGCTAAGCTAACATGTCTCCTGACAGTAGCTTCATATTTAGTGTACAACCATGAGAGAGGTGTCAATCGCCTCACCTCACTCGCGTAATGTTAGTTGTAATACCATTCCCAAAATACAACCGCTTGCAGGTGAGAAGCTGAGAATGAGTGATTAGAGAATAACCAATGCTGTTACTCAAATCCTCTGTCTCTCACACACACACACACACACACACACACACACACACTGTGTACTGCGTGCCTTGTGGATAGAATTAATCTAGGTGTTTATGACTCCACTCAATCCAAACATTGAAGGGCAGAAGTCTTGTATTTATAGCTGTCACACACATGTTTTGTGTGTGCATCATTTAGCGATATTGTGACAGCATGCTCACAGAATGGAAACTACGCACCGTGCAGTTATTTTGGTGCCAACTTTGTCCAAAGCTATGAATAGACTCAACATTAGGGGACATGTAGAGGTAAACAACACTTTAGTGCAGTGGCGTCTTACTAGCTGGGTGTGTGTGCAATTTGGTGTCGGAGTTGTGGGTTCAGGAACAACTCATGGCCTTTAACTTTAAAACTGTTGTTTACAATAGCTGAGTAGTTGTTGGAGGATTTTAAGATCACCGTGTCAGGTGGAAACACACCAAATACATAGCTGAGTGCTGGTCATGGCTGTGTCCCATGTGGAAAACAAGGTGGCCACACACACGTCTCCAATGACAAAATTGATTATAAAGCCGCCCAGGAGTGGTACAATAAAGTCTGTGTGGAGCTATTTGTGTGTGGCCAGCTTGTTTTCTAGATAGGACAACCTCCCATGTTTCATTTCTTCCTGATAAACACAGTCTTTTAAAGCAGAAATGTCATAAAAAGTTAGTTTAACCAGGATGCAGTTCGCTGTGACGGGATGGTGAAGCAGTGATGTCGGCATGGTTAGAAAAAGCAAATCCACACGGAGGTAAAAGCTGCCCCAGACCACAGAGTCACCCTTATTTACTTTTACACCTACAGTTTGACCAGTATTAAACTACTACCGTCGGGTTATTCGAAAAAAAGCATCTGGGACAACATCTACCTGTTTGCAAGATCACAGGATGTCAAACAATTACCAGCATAAGGAGAGGAAGAGGAGGAGCTTAGAGAGGAAAGTCTCAGCTCATTCTTCTGGGGAGTTTAAAGGAGCAGAGGAGAGACAAATGCAAGACGAAGGAACACGTGAGGCAGGAAAGCCAAAAGTGATGAAATTACATCATGAAGACACCAGCGACATGACAAAATACAGTACCGTACTTATACACATAATACTGTGACCTATGGAGTATGCACACAGATACCTATATCATGTATGATATCCTGGATATAATGGTGATGTTTGCTTACCTCTAAATTTGTCCTGGCTTTCTTCAGCACATCACGAGTCCTTGACACTGTAAAAAAACAGGAAAAAATATGTTTCTATATTGTTCCTACTACTTGAGCCCACAGATGATACATCCATGTCAACACTTCATGCGCTGCATGCATTAACAAGCAAATCAAAGTAACACATGTCATTTCAGGTTTGGATCTTGGATACAACATACATTTGTTGTTTCTATCCAAATCCTCAACCTGGAATTTCTCTAGAACTTCCAAAAGAAGGGACAAAGCACAATGTTGTCTGCTGAGAAGCTCTCTTTCTCTTTACTCATACCTTATTTGGTTTTGTTTTACACTCAACCTTCCTACATTCTTTCCTTTCACTTTTCGTGCCTGTGCACTGAGCAGCGAAAGCAGCACTCTGTTTGTTTGGTATTTTCCTAACCTTGAAATTGTCCTTACCCGTCTGTGCTTCCAAGACCTACTGCTTTGCGCAAGTTTTCTCTGATTATCTCTCTTTGTCACACACAAATGCACAGAAACACTTACACTGGTTGACTATGAAGTGCTCCATGTTCTCCTTGGTGCGGCTGGTGCTCCTCAGTCTGTGAGTCGTCCCTTTAAGAACCTCTTCCTGCTCTGACATACGCAGTTTCAGGGACAAGATCTCCTCCTGCATACACTGCTCCTACACACACACACACACACACACACACACACACAAAGTGGCATTTTTTATCAGAGCTCGGCTCTCTTACCAAACATGTTTGTGATACAGCTCTTTAAAGGATAGTACTGGTGATATTATACGTATATTTTTAACAATGAATTGATCATACTAACAAGTATACTGCCTGTGTGGCCTAATGCAGCTTATTCCTCTGTGACGAAGAGCTCCATTGTTTGTTAAAAATAAATGTGGAGCCACACCGGTGCTCCCAGTATCATGTTCCTTCATTAATATGAACATAATACAGTGTCCTGCTGCACACTAGCACACCAAATTCACAGCAGAAAAATAAGCTATTTACACCATTTGAGTAATTTTTGATGTGTTTTAGGAAATCATTTAACCCTACGACCTGTTTAAATATCTTCAGTAGGAACAAATAGGCTCGGGGCTGAGTGCCACAGACATGCCGGGTATGTTGGAACACACTGAGAGACTATTACATTGTTGATTTTGGACTTTTCATTGGATCTGTTGACAATAACACATAAATAGTGTATATCTCCAGGCTTATACTTTGAAAGACCAGACCAGTCATAAATGTGTCCCAAACCTTCTTAAGGTTGTGGATGGAGGGATCGGTGCTGGGCAGAGCTGCTCTCCAGAACATTTTCAGCAGGGACATCGCCTCCTCCAGGATCTGTCTCAGAATCTTGGTGTTGGACAGCAGACTCTTCACACATCCATAGTCCAGGACCTGCATGCAGACCTCAGTTAGATATTTGTGCTCCATAGTCATGACTTGTTGTCATTGAAAATCTGTCTTTGGCCCTTTGGCTCTCACCAGCTCACTGCTCTGCTTCTGGTGGCCCTCCAGCAGCGGTGGGCCGAGGCAGGCCTGCAGGGTTGTCTCCATGCGCTGGACAAGGCTCCCGCCCTCGAGGACTTGCTGCTGAAGAGCGCTGAAGTCATCCACATGACCGATGGTGTGGCGGCCGTTGCGGTTTGCAAATGATCCGTCAGGGGCCTCCCCCTCCAGCTCAGAGTGAGGGTCAAGAGGGTCTGTTGGGGATAAAAGAGCTGAATTTGACATTATTGTATTTTTTTTGTATTGCCAGTTCAGAACTGATTAAAATAATATTCGTTCAGGCACATTACAATAAAAACAAGAAGTTATTATTGTTACAGAACAATCAGTCCACACATTTAAGACCCATTAAGTTGCAAACATGCAGTGCAGTTAAAATCACACCATTGGCAGTGCTATGGCTGTCGTCTAGGTCTGAGTAGGGAGGACCGGGAGATCCACAATTAAACAGACCAATGTCCCTGACTGGTGGAGACGGAGCTGGGTCTGTGGAGCACACAGAAACAACAAACCAGGCTTGGACACAGAGCAAACCACACCACAGCACACTGAGCGCCACAAACATGTTGTGTTGTTAATGTTGTGCCGTCTCACCGTGCAGCAGCTGTCGCCTGTAGAAGTTCTCTCTCTGAGGGCTGGCAGTGAGGGCGGAGAGGGAGGGGGTCCGAGGAGAGCCGACGCCCAGCTTCTGCTCCAGCTGCTTGTGGAGCTCCAGTTGTTTGAGGGCACTGTTCTCCTGGACGCTGTTCTGCAGCTGGGCTCGCAGGCTCCTCACCTCCCCGAGCAGCTCCCCAAGCTCCACCGGTAGACCTGGGAGCTCACACAGGTAGGCTGAGCACAAAACACACAATCACCGGAGAGTCTGACAGGACATGCTCCTGCTTTAGTTCCCCTTGGGGTTTGGAGTACTTGGGTAGATGTTTAAATAAATGTTTTTGTTAATTTTGTAACTATAGCATCTTTCAAACTGTTGTTTGAAACAATCGGAGGTGGAAAAATGTGAGCAATCTGCTATTAGCCTATCCATCTCAGTTTTTATTCCCATCACCAGATGGCGCCAACATTTTATGTAAAAAGGGGAGTATATTAAGTGTAGCTAGTGTAAAATGGACAGGCTTACCTTTGTTGGCCTTTATGCTGGAACACACTCGATCGTACACTTGTAGTTCACTCTGCAGGGAGTGGATGAGCTCTCTGCTCTCACATAGCTGCTGCTGCAGTAGAGACACCTCATGCTGGAGCCTGAGGAGACATCACAGTACATTACAGTCAGAGATTAGATGTGTATACACACACACAGACAATCACAATTTATCAACGAATCAGTCGCTGTTTGATTCAATCTGCATATACACACACACACACCAACCTGTTGGTTTTCTCCTGACTGGCCTGCCGTTCCTGCCTTAGTATGTGTATCTGCTGTCCTTGCTCCTGAGTGTGAGCCTGAAGTCGTCGCAGCTCCTCTTTCCACTGCTCTGCCTCCAGCTCTGCTTGTTTCAGGCGGGCACGTGCTGTAAACACTGCCTCCCGCAACTGCACCACCTCCTCACATGTGTCTGAGGAAAGAGGAGAGTTCAAAATGGGTAAACATGCATCTATTCCAGAGGAAAATAATGTGAACTTTCAGATGAAGTACCTGTGCTGGCCTGGAGGCGTGACTTTAGACCCAAGTTTTCTTCCTTCAGGACTCGGATCTCATTGGACAGTTGAGTGACCGTGTCCAGTCCCTGAATGTAGATGTTTGTTTGTGCACCTGGACAAAAAAAAAAAAAAGAGAAGTTATTTTTTGTAATTTCTTACATATAGAGAAAGAAGTGACAATGTTTCAGCGAGGGCTGCAGTACCTCCATCACGCCCGTTTGAGGCCAGTCTCTCTTCCAGCTGCTGTCGGAGCCTCTCATTGGTCCTAATGGACTCCTCCAGACGCTGACGGAGACACCTCACCTCCCGCAGGTGCTCCTCCATCAAATTTACCCCTAGAGACGACATAACAATAATATGGTAATAATCATTTGACTCTTCTGAAGACTTTGTATATTGATTACAAACAGACAAAACAGTAGAGAGTCCCACCGGCATGGCTGCTTCCTTGCTGGTGTCCCAATGATCCAGAGTAGCCTCCAACTTGCTGACCCATGTTTTCCATGTCCCACAAAGTCCGTCCCGTCACTAGACCTGAGTCAGACTTTATCGAGTGGCCTTCGGGGATGCCACCCAGCGGATACTGTTGAAAGGCATGATGGGTTTGCTGGCTGTAGTTGGAGAGGTCGTGCTGGATGTGGGCACCCGGTGCGAGAGTGAACAGAGGCTTGTCATGGGGAACTGCAAAGCCTGGAACCACACACACACACACACACACACACACACACACACACACAAAAGAGTGAAGTGTGTGTAAAATCTCTAGGACAACAGAGGAATGTAATTAATCTGCAAATGTGATGGTTGCCAACAGGCGATATTATGGAAGTCGTGTCTTTATTTACACTTTTCACACATCACTCCCCCACCCGCCCTCTCCCGCCAAGGCCCTCACCCCTGTTCTGCTCATTCATCAGTTTGTACAGCGTGTCCAGCTCTGGGCGAACAGCAATCACAGACAGGGCCCTGGGCCGGGGGTCAGAAATGACTTCTTTGCCCCAGACGTCAGGGCCAGAGGGGCCAGAGTAGGAGTGGGAGACAGGCTCACTGAAAAGGGCTGGAGGAGAATGACACGTACAGAATGTGAAGGAGGAGGAGGAAAAAGGAAAGGTGATTTTGGGGTACTTTGCATGTCAAAGCCATCTGTAAGTACCATACCTCTAGAGGACTGACTGGTCAAACCCACAGGGGCTGAGCAATGCATGTTGGGACAGCTGCTGGAGTACTTAAGGAAGCCATGAGGAGGAAGGATAGATGGATGGACTAAAGGAGGGGAATGAAAAGTGAGAGGAAGGAAGAGGCACTTTCCAGATATGGAGAGCTGGAACATACAAAAAAACGTTACCTTCTTGTTCTGATCCTTGTCCTGGCCCGTTCTCCTCCTGATATTCTCTGACGTCTAAATCGGAGCACAGCTCCAAGTCGTCATTGGTTCTGTACTCATCAGACACCAACGACGTTCTGTCTGATTGGTCGGTGGTCTCAGAGAGGGCATGGCAGCTGGACGGGGTCTCTGGACGCTGCTGTAGCTTGCTGTGGAGGGACTCGATGATTTTATCTTTCTGCTGAAGCTCCTTACTCAGCCTACATGTGCACACAAGACAATCAACCATTACACTCTGGACTGATAGCTAATAATGAAAAATAAACAACTAACACTGTTGCCAGGCACCCTTAAATCTATATCATAATCACTGAAAATGATGGACAGTAAGTTTTTGTGTAGCTCTACCTAATTTGTATATGATTATCCTCGAGTACAACATAGAACTAAAGGAAGAGTGTCGAGACGCAGCAATTAGTCAATCAACATCTACTGCAGCTATTTTGATTATAAATTAATTTAAAAAATGCTGGTTCCAGCTTCGTAAATGTGAGAATGTGATGCTTTTCTTTGTCATACTGAATAGTTTGGGATTCAGTATCGTCTTAAAGTATATCTGCCTTATGTGAAGTACCTTCCCTTACTGTTTCAGTTGCTGAAGCATGAACTCCCTGTCTCTCTCCAACAGCATCCTAAGAAAAGCTGTCTCTCTTGCTTGTCCTCGAGCCGTTGAAAAAGACCACAGTGAGTTCCTGTATATGGGACTGTTCTTAGAAGTCATGGATTTCCACAGGGGAGCCATCAGTTCAGTCCAGAAAGACCAAGTCCTTGATGCACTACAGACTCTTTGCTGTCTTCTAAATCCAGTCACTTTAGGACTTCTTAGACTACATTCTTAATGATAAAAAACTAAAAAGAAATCGCAGTAGCTTTAAATGCTGTTGCAGATAATAGCAGAAATCCACGAATAAGTGACTGAGTATAGATCCATTGAGCACGGTACTACTGAATGAGGCAACGTCAGTAAAGGATTGTCACACAGTCACACTGAGCCTCTTAAGTCCAGCTGGTGGGGACACCTGTACTGTAAGACTATTCAATGAAAGCAACTTAAAGGATCCATGCTGGGGCCTGTGTGTGGATTAACAGCAACCTTCTGTCTCCTTCTACCATAAGGAGCCATGTGGTGTGCCGCAGCGGGTCACATGACAAAGTAAACTAATCACTAGGACAGTAGAGTAAGTGCTCTACTAATACCTTCAAGGGAGGCCCACACATCTAAATGCTGCAGAGGATTATATAGATCAGGGTTTTGTTGTTTTGTTGTTGTTTTGAAAGCACGTTAGCAAGCCGACTCACCGTAGGGCAAGCAACTCATGGCCTGTCTTGTCGTCATGGCTCTCTGCACGGTTGCCTATGGAAGTAAAACAGGAAAGACAGCATAGGAGAGAGGAAATGTCAAAAAAATTGAATTTGGGCATAAAAGGACCACAAGAATGGAAAACTATAAAACATGAACCCTCTGTCTGTGCAATGGAAGATATGGGAAGATGTTCCTTACGTCCACTGATCTTGGCGAGCACTCTTTGTGCCAGGGCTGAGTTCTGTGCCAACTGCTCTCTGAAGCTCTGCCCCATGTAGTAATCAATATCATTGGCCCGCAGCAGCTCCTCAAAGGTCTGCAAGTTGTAGAGAATTTGAGTGGGTATGAGAATACCGACTAAACACTCTCATATTACTTCCACATGTTGGTAATATGTAGGAATGTGATAACATGTGGTTTAGTGATGTAGTTAGTTAGTTAGTGGAAGGGTTTGCAGCACCTTGGTGGTATCACCCAGGTGCTGGATGAGGATGTGGCCGACTCCTTGCCCCTCTCTCACCCTCTGCCTCAGGTGGGACAGCTCACGAGCTTGTGCCTGGATCAGAGAGTTGTAATTCCTGTGGGAGGGAGGGAGAAAATCATTCTCATGTGCTTCAGTTAAGTGATTCTAGCCACAAGAAATGTGTAGCAGCTACCTCTATCTTTAACCATGGCTTATCTGTCTTATCTGTCTCTGTCCACTCACCCAGGCCAGGTGGCACATTTCCCCTCCTCTGCTTGGCTTTTGTCCTCCTGTCTGGAGCTCTTCAGTTGCGCCTCCAGTGACGCAACTCGTGCCATCAGTTCTTGCAGTTCCCTGCTGGGTTTGGACCCTGAGAGAATGCCTTGGGTGTCAGACATCCAGCCTTCATCCTCTTCCACACCGCTGGGGGCTGGTGACGTCTCAAAGGCCCAGTTTACCTAGAAGGTGAGAATAAAATGAAGGGCATCATTATGGATAAAAACCTAATGAACCTAAAAGACCAGTCAGTGATGTAGAGTAGCTGGTTAATGTTACAGTACCTTGCGTGGGGTTCGTTCCAGGCTGGAGGCGTAGTCGCTGGTGGTAGACAGGGAGCGCACACGCAGCTGCAGCCCACGGATCACCTTGTGGCAGCGGGTCAGCTGTGAGCGGAGATCCTGGACCAGATGCTGCAGAGAGGCTGGCTCGTCCTCCATTTCACCTGCGTTACTGCTGCCAGTGTACCAGCTGCCAGCACCTTCATAGTCTTGCTGATTGGACAGCGACGTGCACATCTCCAGGTCATCAAATTCTGAAGGAGGGAGAGATGAAGAGACACAGTGATTCATGATTAATGCGGATCAGTGAGTGCATTTTACAGGAGAGGAGAACATTTGTGTGTCAGTTTGATTGGGATTTGTTCTGCTTGTTACCTGGGCTGCTGGCGTCTTCTCTCTCAGCTTCGTTCTCACTGCGACCACAAGTCTCATAACCCAGATCCTGGAGATCCACCTGCACCTGCTTACTGGCCTGCTGGACCGACGTCTCCGCTGCAGAGACATAAGTAAGAAATGACTTAAATCTGGTAAAGTTATCATTGTTTGATTAAGGTTTTGAGTACATTGCGCTTGCGTTCCTTCATAGATGTTCCTGAGAGTGACTCACTGAGCAGATCTCTGTAATCGTTTAGTTGTTCAGCCTGAGCGTGGACCGTGGCTTCAGACACCATCAGCCTTTCCTGCAGCTCTCGGTTCTCCTGGTGGCTCAGAGCCAGATCGGAGCTCAGGCGGGCCGCCTGCTCACGAAGACCCTCCTCTATATCCTGCCAGAGTGCTCCCTCCTCGCTGCTGTCTCCAGCAGGCTCCACCTCCTGCAACAGTAACATGCTTAAGCAACTCTGACATGTAATACACAAGACAGGAAATCACAGGTATGTCCTTTTTCATCATTTTAACGTATAGGGAACTTGTTGGGAACAATGTTTTAATTGACATGCTTATTATCACACTGATGATGTCAAACTACAGTAACTGCAGGCACAGCAGTGACGACTCCATTACTCATATAAACAACCTCGGGACTAAAAGAACACAACACCCATACATAGACGGGGCTTGGAGACAACGCTGCTCCTGCACAGTTTACTGAAATCTGTTTTGCAATGTGTTGAAGCAGAAATAAAATAACTTCTGTTGGTTTTTGGCTAATCTTTAACGCCTAAAGAGATAAAATGACTTTTATAGATTTGCAGCAGCTTCATAAAATGTCTGAGACAGGCAGTTACATCTGCAGTTGTAAGTCACTAAAAGTTTGATTTCTATTAAATGAAGAATGTGAAGAACGTGTTACCGTCTCAGGCTGGTGTGTGTGATGATGGGATGTCAGAGAGCGTGGCCCCTTGCAGTGCCTCTTCACTCGCTCGTCACTCAGACTAACACCCGGATGACCTCTCTTTCCCACTGGCACCGGAGATGTTTCCTCCTCTTCATCTTCTTCCTCAATATCCTCCTCCTCTTCTATCTCCTCTTCCTGATTCAAGCTCCTGTGATTCCTCTCTGGGTTTGTCCTCAGTCGCACAACTCCAGCTCGTCCTCTGGTTTCTTTCAAAGCCTGGTTCTCCTGCTGCAGCCTCTGCAGTGCACTCCTAGCCGAACACAAGGAAGGAGGACAAAGTTGCATGATCAAGTTGCCAGATTTAAACCCCTCCCCTGCAGCTTAGACAATCAAAACACAAAGTTTCAAGAGGATCTCTGAGACAAATGTGCACCTCATCTGAGCCACGGTGGTGTATCCATCCCTCTCCAGTTGTAACCTTATTTCTTCAAGCTGGCCTTCAAGTGTCTTCCTTGCTTCCTCGAGCTGCTTTACATCGGCTCCCTGGGACACCAGCGGTCCAATCACACCCTCAGCTCCACAAGCCTTAACAGAAGATGACGTTTTTTTATTGTGCTACCATTTAATCCATTACGTGAATGGTTTAAATTATTAAGAGGTCCATAAATCTATGGTTACAAGCCTGAATTTAAAGGGATTCAACAGTGAAATGTAAATAGAAGTAGTCTACCTGAATGGAGGCCAAACTTCTGGCCGTCACTTTATTGTCATCCTCCTCTATGCTGTCCGTAAACTCGTCACTGCTGCCATCTTCATCGTCTCCTTCCTCCTCCTCCCCCTCCTCGTCTGTGCTGAGCTCTGGAAACAAAACAACCATATAAAACATCCACCTACTCTTATCCCTTTTGTTTATTTCTCAATCCTTCTAATTCTTCTAATACTTGGTTTTTGTATCGGCTCTCCCTCTCTAGCGTCCACTCTCTATCCAATTCTTTCCAGACCTCCTGTTTCTACACTGAATCACCACTTTGTCATGAGACTAAAGGGAAATGTTATGTCATACTCATGCCTGCCAGCCAAAAACACACTCAAGACAACACAACCCAGGACCAGAGTGTGCAAATGTGTGTTCAAGAGAAACTGAGACAAATATAATTGATTTTCATTTATTTATTAAAATATCTTACACGTAAGATTTAGTGGTGATTTTGTGCCAAAACTAAATATGTGTGCAGCTTTGTTGTGTGTTATTAAAATATTGTATATACACACAGGACGCAGAGGCTCAGTAAAAAAGAGCCCGGCAGGAATTTCTAAGGGAATTTGCTTTACATAATAGGCCCTGATGATACACAGCAGACACACACACATTTCACATACAGTGTGTAGATGTGTATCATGTGTGTATGGGTGTGTATCTACCGTTGCTCAGTGCATTTTTGGAATTTATTATGGGATTAGTTCATAATCCGGATAAAGTTCAAAGGCACTATAATTTGACTCCACCCTAAAACAAATATCAAAGTTAAATACATGAAATGTGTTTGTGCTGCTAGTGAGAGGGCAGGAAGTTCATGGAAGCAAACTGCTGGTTGATTATAGATTGAACAATGTGCTCTCTAAACTGAACTGATTGGATGTGGGGCCGTTTAACACTGTGGCACCACATATCGTCACCACTCTCATACGGGATCATAATATGGAAAGCGGCACTCCTTGAAACCGTGTATGTTATGTGTATTTGTCAGTTAAAATAATGTGGATTTCACGTTTAAAAAGATCAAGGATGTTGAGTAAAAGGGCTCACATGAGCTTCCCTTAGTTTGTGAATTTGTCATTTTAGTGTTGTGAATGTCTAACTGGGCATTACAGCAGAACAGCCATGCAAACATGAAAACCATGCCACAATATCATGCATGAGGGAGGACATCAAGACAAAACACTAATTTGGATTGGAAATGTCTGGTAAGACACATAGACGTGTTTGTATTTATATGAAGACTGAATTATCTAACGAAATCTGTTAACAAGTTCAGATATTTTTGACCACATTTAAATCTGTGACTTTACAAAACATTTATAACAAGTGTGTTCTTGTGTGATAAAGTGCATATCAGGACAGACTAGGAGGCTGAGGATGATGTAGGAATGGTTCAGATAGATAAAACACACTGTGGGTTGAGCTCTGGGGATGGAAGGAAGTATAGATCAAGGACTAAGTGGGGGGGGGGGTTCAGATTTGGGATGCTTCTAAGACAAATTCCCAATTAAACACAGCAAACAGAAGTGCTTTTGACAAAAAGCCAGCACATTTTTATTTTTGTTGCATTAAATATACAAAAAGAAGTGTTGACAAGGATTCCATCCTAGATGAGAGATCAGCACAAATCCCAAGAAAATGTATTCTACCTCATATAAATATTTAATGGGCAAGTATTATTCTGGCATTCACATTTCATGTGATTTATTGAGAGCACAGTGCTGACAGTAAAGTTACTCGATATTATATTTTTCTGCTTTCTTGATACAAAGCTGAACTTAAGTTCAACAAGCAGACTAACTAAAAACAACACGTGTACTAAACTACCATGACGTTACTTTAAAGTAATCAGCGTGCACCAACCACCTGATATCCAATGCGGCTGACCTCATCTGTCAGACTAAACCATAATTAGTGCAGAGCAGGTAAAACTGTATGAGAGCAATCCGAGGTTAAGCTGAACTAGAGGAAACTACTTGACCATATTTTGGGATTTGTATCTCGGGCCTTGTTAGGTGTGCACATCCTGTTCACAAACAGATGATATAAAAACAAATGATGGATGGTGAGACGTTCCACTGTAAGGCATGAGCTTGAGTTTCTCCACAAGACGTAACTTCACTGTGACAGTAAGGCTGGAAGAGTGACACTGGTGAGAGACAGGACATAGAAATGGCAATACAGAACAATCGCACTGCAAAACGATACGCAGGCCGTTCACGGAAACAATACAAAAACATATTCACACCACACTCAGAAAACATATTAATAAATAAGACTCTGGGTTGCACGTTGCCACTTCATACCATTGAGGTTAATTTGAACAGGCGTCTGCTAATGTGAGTAGTGCTTGTGCTATCTGGATGAAGCTACCTGAAAACTGATGGTCAGATTTCTTTTTTTTTTATGCACACTTAATAAAAGCAGAACTGTCTTGATTGCTTTCACTTTTTCTTTATGAATCTGACCATCAGTGGCTGCAGACAGCTCCATGTCACATAAAGTGTGTCATTCAGCAGTGCTGTGGTCAGACAGAGCGTTAGTGACAGCACCCCCTGCAGCCCTGCAGGCTGGACCCTACCCATCCCCACCTCCAAAGACGGGCTGCTTTTTAGCTGCCCGTTCCAGCATCAGGGCCATGTTACGGGTCTTGGCCAGGACCTCCTCCAGCTGTCTGCGGAGCGCCTGAACTGAGTCTAGCTCGGTGTGGAGGGCCTGGATCTTCTCAGAGCTGAAGAAAAGGGAAATGTGTTTTAGAGCAAAAAAAAACAAAACAAACCTGTATTCAGAGGAAACTGGCCTGTCACAAGACCTGTGTGCAGCTTCCCTACCTGTCACTCTTGGTGTGAACGTGTGAGAGATTTTGGTATAATCTCTTCTCCGTCCTCAGCGCATCGTTCAGCTTGTTGTACTCTGACACAAGCTGCTCCAGCACACACTAGATCACAGTGGCAGGCAGGGTTGATGAGACATAATAAATGCATGTTATTAAGCAGCACAAATAGCCAAATACTGTCTAATTGATTGAGAATGAAGCAACACCCTACTTGGTGATCAGCGCTGTCCTCATTGTCCTGCTGGTGAGCCAAAGACAAACGCAGAGCAGAGAGCTCCTTCTGCAGGGAGAGCGAACAAAGATATGACGTGTGAGATTATTGGGAAGTATTGTTTTTACATTTTTATCACAGTGTCCACACAGATACCTGAGCCTCCCTCTCCTTCTTCAGTACCAGCTGCAACTCTTCCTGGAGAGCCTTCATCTCTGCCTCACTCTCTTTAGAGGATGGCTGCATCGCCTCCTCCTGGCCCTGCATCAGCTCCTGGCGAATGAATTATACTGTGAAGATCAGGTCTACAGGAGATGAAGCAAGGGAGGACGCCAAGGGAAACAAATGGTACCTTGATGAAGGCTTCTTTCTCTTTGAGCAGACTCCGCAGGTGCTCCGCCTCTCCTCCCATCTCTCTCTCCATGTCCTGTTTCAGCTCACACAGCTCTTGCTCTCTAGATGACAGCTGTCTGCGTAGCTCCTGCAGCTGGCCAGTCCGCTCACTAATCACAAGAGAGAGCCTGTAGGAGTAGTCCTGCGAGAGAGAGAGAGAGTGAGAGGGAGTGGAGAGGTTGAAAGATTTTTGTTGTGTACGATTGTATTTCCATAACTATACCAGCAACACGACTTACCTGCAGATACTGGTCTTTGGAGCTGAGAGTGTTGAGCATTTCCTGGACCTGTGCTTGGTGTTCATTAGACTGGCAGCTGCGGTCCGAGAGCAGTTCCTGGAAGAGTTTTTCTTTCAGCGCCAGCCGAGCTTTCAACTCCTCGACGACCTCAGTGGGACCAGCCTGAACTCTGGCAATAAGGGTGGCTGTCAGATCCTGTAAAAACAAACACGCACACAACAACATTCACCCAGAAAGGCCTGTGTCAGCACACTTGTTGTATTTGTCAAATGGAAAACAAGTAGCACAGGTTTGTCTAGGTGGACTGGTTTTCCAAAGCTTTGAAAATGACATAGCAAACAATTAGAAGCCACAACCATAAAGGCAATACATGAGAGAGTGTGTGTGTGTGTGTGAGTTACCTGTGCCTCCAGGCTGTGTGTCTGTAGAGCTGCCTGTAGCTGGCTGATGATGGTGTCTTTCTCTCTCAGAGTGTTTCTCTCCTTCTCCTCACTCTGCTGCCTCAGCCACTGGAGGTTCCTGTAGGCCTCCGCCGCCTGTTCTAGCTCCAGCTCTTTGCCACGCACCAGGGCGTCCAGACTCTGATGGTCACAATCACAGGTGTGACCACACAAAAACTAACATAATACCTCATATATATCGTAAACGACCTGTTTTGATTTGAAAAGGTTGCTTTCTAAAGTAAAGCCTCTCTTAATATAAGATGGCAGGTCTGACAGGTTTGACATGTTTGTCCTGTGTGCGACGAGCGTACCGTGATGGTCTCCTCGTTGTTGGACAGAATGCAGCGGAGTCTCTCCAGGTCCCGTTCCTTCTCCCTGAGGGCCAGCTGAAGCCTCCTCACTTGGGCCTCGCGCTCCTCCACACAGCGGAACTTGTCATCTATGGAGCGCTGCAGATGGCGGAGGGGGAGAAAAATAAAAAATAAAAATAAAAAAATCACACTGCTGCTATTCTGGGCACCCTCAACTGTGATATTCATCATGTTCTGAGCAGGTGGGCAGTATCCAAAGCTCCTGTTCCTTACAAAAATATTTCATAAATGAGTCAGGGTAGGAAAGTAACATTTTTGTCAGGGAACGCCACCAGCATCTGATATTTAAGAAGAATTCTTTACCAATGCTGTAGGGTTGCGACAGGACTTGACTTGACAAGAGAGTTCAAGAATTCCCATGAAGACTTTTTTTTTTTTTACTGTGTTTGTTGTGAAATGTTATGCTGACCAACTGATTTAGGTGGAGTTTGCACAACTGTCTACTACAGGCTCTCTCGACTGCTGCAAGATGCATACTGAGGTCTTTTCTCTCCTTTTCCAAGACTGTGGCATTAATCACACCATATATAGCACCGTGGTTCACATGGAACAGTAGTTGGGGTCCTCATGCTATTTCTACCAAGCTACAATTGATTAAATTTACCTCCAGAGCTCTGTCTCTGTCCTTAATACGCTCTTTAAGTTTCTCCAGCAGGGCATCTCTTGGTTTGGAGCTTCCTGTTGACTCCAACATCTCCGAGTACTCCTACAGATACAAAGATTTTTAGACAGGATCAGAAATGTGTGCATGCGTGTGCATCTATGTAACTACATATGACCTGAGTGATTACCTGCAGCTGTTGCTCCTTGTCCTGCAGAGAGTGTTTGAGCTGTGTGATGCTCCTCTCTTTCTCCTGCACCACAGTGTGTCTCTCCACCTCGGCCTCCTTCAGAGCTGCTTCTTTAGCCTGAAGCTCAGAGCGAGTTTTCTGTAGGGCAGAGCGCAGGTCCTGCGGCACAGAGACGGGAGGTCACGCATATGCTGCAGCTTTCCTACTTCAAGACGTGCTTCACGCGCACACTCACAAACCCACTAACCTGGTTGTGCTTTTCTGTGACCTCCCTGTGCTGCTGCACCTCCTGCAGATCAGAGTTGAGTCGGTCCTTGAACCTCGAAAGGTCATCTCCTTGCCTCCGACTCTGTCTCAGGCTCCTCTGGCTGGCCTCCAGCTCCAGACCAAGGGAGAACAAGGAGCTTTGCACCCCCACCAGCTCGCCCTGCAGCTGGGCGAGCATCACAGACCCGCTGACCCCCTCTGGCATCTAAAGAATGACCAGCTCAAAGTCAGTGTGCCATGCCCGGAGATGAGGTTTCTCACTATCAATAAAGAATGATCCTGGATCAGGGTTTGCTGCCACTATACGCGCACCAAGTCTCACCTTAAATTGAGCAAGCTGGTTGCGGTGGACCATTTCTCTGAGCTTACACAGTGTGCTGTTCTGCCCTTCCATCAGCTGGTACAGCTCCTGGGCCTTAAAGCAGAATAAATTGTGTGTATGAGCATCTCTCAAATACAGGTATCATCTCGCACAGGTTGACAACAAAGATAAACACTCACCTCACTGTCTTTGGTGCTGATGGACTCTGTCAGACCCTGAATGGTTCTCTCCTGGCTCTGAGCAGCCTGGCGGATTGAACGCAGCTCACACTCCATCTCATTCAGCTTCTCCTGCAGTTTCTAAAGAGGGAAACAGGTAACACTGTTAGGCTGTCATCCGTTATCAGATATGGATTCATCAGAAATATCGAACTTTAAATGGGGCATACCATATTGTTGGCCTCGCTCTTGTGGATCTTGGCCTGCAGGGAATGGACCTGGAGCTGGGCCTTCTGCAGCTCGCTGACACATTGACCGGCTGCACACTCATACTGGTTCAGTTGATTCTGCTGCTCCTCAACGAGGCTCTGTAATGACGGAAATAAGGTGTCAGCGTTTCAAGTTTTAAAAACTACTCGCTGTGAATGTTAACTTGCACGATCTTCTAACCGAATCGAGCAGCTGAATTATTTGTGAGGAAGATATTTTGTTTCAAATTCATGAAGAATACAGAGGCTGTGGGCGGCATAACTTTCACAGTGGATTGTGTTCGATGTGTAAAAACTCTGCCCGTGCACGCGTGTACTTTTTAAAAAGCCATGATGGGGAGAAGAGCCTCTGAAGCGGTGCGAGTGTGTCTGCATGCATGAGTTAGCACGAGTGTTCTGTGGCACTATTATCTTTACATAACCCCGTTTCCTACTTTCACTTACTAGAGGAAGGATGTCATTTAGACGCACAGACTCATACTTTCATTCACCAAGATCAATTTGTAGTTGAATGTAGCCGAGATTAAATGAAACACATTTTGAAATTTTACTGTAAAAAGTGTGTTTTCTAATAGAAATGATTACATTAACATGTCATTACAACAGGGCTATTGTAACAGCCAACCAGAGTTGAGATGATAGGATGGTCTGACATTGCATGGATCAGTTTGCCTCAAGGGCTCTTAGTGAAAATAGGGCAGTGGTGGAGTCACTCTGTCTTAATGTCTGCCCACATCTAACCTACTTCAGCCCCGGCTCGAAGAGCACACAGAGACAAATACACACCCTCAGAAACCTATTGTTGATTATTATTGTCTGGAAGAATTTTCACATCGTTGAGCAGAAAATCCTGCGCTTCAACACAATAGTTTGTAACTGGAAAACAGGTCATTAGTCTGCAGGCTGTGTTCAGTATTTGGCAGCTGTGATGGATGTCACTGTAGATCATCAACACCTTAATTTAAAACCATTTTAAATACATAAGCAATTACATATTGAATTTATAGACGTTTACGCTCACTAAATTGTTAAAAATGACTGCGCTTTCACTATTCACTCTGTGCTTTCTACCTTATTGACGTGACTAATGACCTTTTTGAGTGCACACACTCACACACGCACACGCTAGGTAATTAGGCCATGTCGAGTGTAACCGCTTACCCTCACCGTACTGCTCATGTAATGTATTCCCACAACACACACACAAACATACACAGCACTGTAGCTCACATCCTCCTTGGTAAAAGCTTGTGGGAGAAGCTGTGGGCAGGATTTTAGTGACTGACAGAGGGATTATGAGGCTAATTAAGTTTAAAAAAAAGGAACAGTGGCGAGACTACTCGTTTTGTGGGCAGGCTGCACTGTTTGTCTGTCAAACATTAAAGCCTGTTGGGTTGGCTCTCTCATTCTGCTGCAGATACTGCAAATTTGCAGGAGTCAAGCAAAATACACTACCCCACTGTGTGTCATCATACTGCAGTAGTCAAATCTGTGTATTCATCACCATCCTTGCCGATGTTTTATACCTGGTGAGGACGTGGGGGAGGATACTCTTTGTACAAATCATCCAACAAATCCTCCATGTAGGCCAGGTTCAGATCCTGATCAACCAGCCTGATCAGAGGGGTCTCCAGCTCAGGTGTTGGCATGTGGTTGTCTCTTTCTCCCTCTGGAGTATCATAAGACATTCCCAGAACAGGAACAGGGAAGGCCAGCCTCGAGCCTCCATTACTGGAGCTCTGTCGGAGCAGCACTGGCAGCTTACTCCCTTTAGGGCTCAGGACTGGCCGGTAGACGGCATAGCTCTGCAGCAAACAGAGGGCCAGAGAGAGGCTGGGTCCAGGTGAGGCTTGGCCACGTGGGGCTCCTACGTGCTCCTCAGAGAGGGAGTCAGATATCCGGTCATCCATCAGTTCCCTGGGGGAGCTCAGCCGGCCATCTGTTATAGCTCCAGACTGAATATATTCCTCAGTCGTCTCTAAGGATGCTATAGAGGGGCTGGAGCTGGCTCGTCCAGCCAGGGTGCATTCACTATCGGATGACCTGGAGGGTTCCTGAGAACCAGGGACCAGAGTTAAAGAGGAGGGCGGTTCTTCTAAATCCTCCACATTATTATTTTCTCCTACTCCTTCTCCACCACCTCCTCCTCCAGTCACACTCCCTCCAACAACGCTGGCTGAATATCTGGATGACGGCCCGCAGGAAATACTCCGTGCCAGCTTCCTGGGCACCTTACAAACAGCTTCATAGTCAGAGTCCGCCACCCGCCAGTAGGAACAACCCCGACACTTCCTGGGAGTGCTGGGAAAGCAACGATGCGAGTCTGCAACTGTGACCTCTGACTCTGGACCAGCAGAACTGTGAGGGTGGTGGTGGTGTTGACAGTCCAGGCCGTCATCGGCCCACGACTCATACAAAGAGTACACCAGATCATCTTGGAGCAGGGCACAGTACTTTGCATGAGTAAGACCAGAAATGTCAACCATCCCATCTCCTGATCCATCATTACCTCCAGGTAATGTCGCTGCACCCTCCTCTGAATTAGTTTTCCGGTAGAGCCCACTGATGCACTGCCTCAGCCTGTGTTTCTCCTGCAGGAGACGCTGCAACCTCTCGATGGACAGGGCCTCCACGCGGGCGATCACTGTGTCGAAGCGGTACATGCGGTCCAGCATGAAGGTGCACTTTGAGCAGGCGAACTCTCCTCTGCCATCCCGGGCCAGCTCTCGCCCAACAGCATGAGACAGCAGCACCTGCAGGTTGAGCTTGGGGGTGGGATGGAAGATCCATCGCCGCTGGTTACCGCAGAGCTCCCGTCCACAGATGCGACACGTTTCCTTCATCTTGAGATCGAGCATGCCACAGGTTTGTAATTATCCTTATTCACTCTAACACGAGGACAGCTGGACCCTTATTATGATGAATTTGATCCCTTGTGAGCACAAAGGAGCATAATGTTTCAACCCGCATGTGCTTTTAGAGGACAATAAAAGCCTTTTTTCATTTGAAATAGTGTAAAGCTCCCTATGACATCAGTTCTTGCAATGGCATTAAATTCAATGGCTTAAAATAAATGAAATGAGGTAGACAATGAGAAGCAATATGCTTGAAGAGAATGGTTGCACATGAGGTTATTGGCAAGACTGAAAAGCCATGAGGTAAAAATAGGTAAGCAGATATGGTGTCGTTAATTAAAAAATATCCATCAGTCCAGGATCACCATTCATTTGCAGGAGGTGCAGGTGCATCGGGAATATGGCGCACAGTCACTCCCACGGACGCACAGCGAAGCCATGTGAATGTCTCATGAATCAGATGCAGTATTTATCTGGATATCGTCCTCGCGCTGTCACCCAAACGCTGTTTCGCAGTTCCCAACAATACCGCACGCGCCTTTGCGCCATCAGTCGTCTGTCACGGACACACCAGCCGCACCGCGCGCCATCAGGTTAATAATGACTGGTGATCGGTAGTAATCCAGGACATGGAGACAGAGCCGTAATTGGCGTCCCGGGACAGTCTTCTGCGTATTCTTCCGGTGTCTGCGTCCGAAAACGTGAGTCTTTATTCATTTCAGAGCCTTTACCGACAGCTAGAGAGGCAATCACGCGCTCATCTGGTTGGGTGCTTCGTACGGTCGGAGATCCTCCGGGCTGATAACGATGTGGCTGCCTGAATCAGACCTGCAGCGGCGGAGCGTACCATTTAGAGAATACAGAGGGGTGGGGGGAGCACTGTGCAGTCGTATAGAGATGCTCACGGTTTAATATCCATTAAATCCATTTTCCGATTCAAAACGCCCTTTTTTATTTTGAAACGCACAATAGTATGTAAACCCAGCGAATATTATCTTTATTCTGGAGTTTATTGTTAAAGAGATAGAACGATGTTCCCCTGGGAGTCTCTTACTTCCTCCTGCCCGGTTTACTAAACCCTGTCCGCCTGACTGAACAGGTGAAATGCTCAGTAGCACGGTAACATTAGTGACGCTCTGTGAAATTAAGGAGTATATAGAATAGAATAGAGTCAGACTGTTCTATTTTTAGCAATTCATTTTTTTTTATTGGTGTGACGATACAGTTTTGCCACAGCAGGTTTTATAATGTTTACAATGCAAGTAAAAATAATTATTATACGATATTATATATTACAAAATAATAGTTATGTACAAGGAGTACACATTATTAACTCAAATAGCTGCACTGTTCAAAACTATTGTATGTAATAAGATGAGGCATCATATTCTATTTTTTCTAATGTCCTATTCTATTCTGTGTTAAAGATAATCACATATATACAGCATTAATTATGCTGTAGAGTCATCCCTCTCTCTCTCACACACACACACACACACACACACACACACACACACACACACACACACACACACACACACACACACACACACACACACACACTGCCTAAGGGTTGACTAGAACCAGTTTCTATTTTCCAGTATTAAGCTGTGCTACAACCTTTGTGTTACACTTGGTATAAAAAATTGCCTCGGTTTGTATTCCTGCAATGATTTCCTATCCTGTCTGATTATATTGGGGTAATGGTGTGTATAACTTCATTAGACCACTACAAATAAGTTATAGAACAGACCAATGAAATTAATCATTTTTTTATTCATGTATCCAGGGTTACCTGCCTGACCGTTACTCATGCATCAGTATTTTATCAGGCAAGAGGCTCTCAAGACAAGAGCAATGAAACAAGTTACCATGGCTACACATATGTACTTCACAGATGATTATTTTGATAATTGAGTAATTTTTTATGTATGAATATCAGTTTTGGTTTCAACTGCATAGTAGTGGAATTAGGCATTTTTAAGACACAACAGTGGATTGTGCTTATTTGGGCCCTTGACATTATAAAAAGGCATCACAAAGAAGCAATGCTGCTAGCTAGCATATCACTGAGCTCACTAAATCCTGTGGTATAATCATACTGGTTTGGTGACTTTGGTCTTTTAATAGAGCCCTCATCCGACCGTGGACCTTATGTCAATACATGCTATTGCCTCAAGATTAGTATTATTTGTACTTCTTGTTGTCATGGAGCAGATATTCCAACAATGATTTGACTGTGATGGTCAAACAACTAGGTCTTTTCTCATGCATTTGACTGTGCTTCACAGCCGTGACCACAATTTTTGTTTTCCCTAGGGGGCACAAACAGATGATCATGCTGTCATGCTGTGACTTCCTCGTAGATACGCAGTGCAAAATCCAAAAATATGTTAGAATTTGCCCGAAGGACGCTGCAGACAGCCAACAACACATGAGAGAAGAATGCAGCAGAATAATAACACTGGATGTATGATATTTCTTCTTTTTGATCAGATGTCCTATGTAATTGAATACAAGCAGATTTATAAAGGATAGTTGTGTACAGTATACCAATTACTACAAATTATTCTTAAAAAGGAAACCCTGGAAAGAATTGTCTTAAGAGGTTTCAGATGATATTTCTTCCCTGGCTCTTTCTCTCTCGCCAGACATAGATTTAATCTAAATGGCCGTGGTGTCTGGGGAACTAATTAGGAGCTCTTATTGCGAGTGTCTATAGGAGACTACACAACTTGATATCAGCCTTGGGAGCGCTGAGCACTCAAAGGTCAACCTGACCTATCGACAACCCGGCTGAAACCAGACCCGCTAAACTGCTAACCAGCAAGATGCCTGTATGCACACACGCACATATGAAAGAAGGCGCCTCATGGGAATGTGTACACACACGGACGCACACACACAAGACCCCAGTTACTGATCCTCACATGATTTCTGTGAGTAGATGTGAATGTCGCCGTTTCTGTCACACAAATTGCTAATAAGTATATTTGTGGGCCACATAGAATAATTTACTTGCAGTAAAAAGCAACAACATATGGCAAATCATTTTAGTTTTAGCTGTATTTTACCTGCAACGGTTTTTCCTTAAATTCTTAAAATGAAAAATATGACTCATGGTGTATTGGATAATACGGAATCATTGTGTTGTACATTTTCTTGTATTCTATATGCTGTCTCATTCGTGTGCACATATGCACAACCAACAAATAACTGTCACCTCCCATTGCATTGACCCCAAAACCAACAACACAATTCAGATTCAGCTCTCCTTGTTGTGCTCATATTAAGACTATGTCCTTTCTTATCTATATAAACACTCAGACACAATATGTTGCACATCATATGTACATTACCCCACTGTTCCCTGAGTGACTAAATGTTTTGCACATACAGTGTTGTCGTCCATTACTGAACATACTACGCGCTTTGTTTCATTTTGTCGTGCGCACTAACACTCACACAATCTGAACAGAGAACCTGCCTAGTGAGTACATTTGCATCTTTCATTCACAACTGATTTACAAGTTAAAACATCCCACCCAACAACAAAAATGTTTTCAACAAATACTGTGACGCATTCAGGCCAAATAACACGAAGCAACACTGCAAGAACGGTGAATAATAAAGCAGACTGTGTTTATGATTATTGATTATAGGAAGTGCAAATTGATGGCAAAGACTACTAAAGGGAGCTCACATAATGGTCCCCCTCCATTCGTAGTTTAATTAGACATCAGGACAGAGATGTGTCCTTGGGGATGTCAGTGCAGCTAAAGCCTATAAATGTAATGAGATTTGGCACTTTGTGTGATGAGATAAACCCTCTGTAAGATCTTTCACGAGCAGTCTCACATGGTGCTCCATTGCAGTACAAGAAGACTAAGACTAACTGTTTGCTCGTTTTAGAGGAAAGTTCACCATCATATCTGTGTTGTTGACCAATCAGAAGCCACTGCCGATGATGAAACATTCAGGGTTAGATTGCACAAAGATGAGCAAAGTTCCAGCTCACCACAGGATGTTTCACTTGCTGTTTACTGACTTTTTGCTATGACATTGTATTACAGAGAGTAGTTGTATTGATTTTATTAGCCATATTAGACAGTCTGCTCTTTTCTTAATGGGCAAAATGAGAGAAAACATATTCAAACTTTGGTACAGTTTGTTGGTTTTGTACCACAATCTTGAACGTACTGGTTATATTGCAAATGGTCTGATCTCCCTGTATCTTAAATACTTTTGTAAAAATTTACAAATTGTTCAAATATGTGTCCATTCTATCTGTCTTCAGCTCTTGTGTGAAAATGCAATGTTTCACCTCTCCATAATGAGGCAGAGTCCGTCTGACATCAAGAGAGAACTGTGATGCTGTTCTGACACCTAGTGGAGAACTTTATAATAACATGCGAAGTCTAATGAACCAACATAAAGATACAGAGCTCCACATACCTGCATCTCCTGTTCCATACGCAGCCTCTCTCGACTAAGTTCCTCCTGATAAAACTGTAAGAATGGTGACAGACTATTAACTTACTGTATGTACTAATCTGAGAATTAAAATAATTAACATTACAATACATTTTAAGATTAAGGAAACAGGAAAGGGAACGAATGAACCTTCACAGAAAAAATACTTCATGGGAGAATGCTTGAACACAAAAATTCTGAATTTCCCCCGCTGGGGATCAATGCAGGTTTATCTTATCTTACATGTTCCCCTGCAGTGTGACTTTTGTCTGAGTAGCAGTTTGTGCGTACAAATAGTTCTTGTGACCTTCATGAATAGCTGTTAAAATAAGGTTTGGGAATGTCACATATGCCGCTTTCTAGAATAGAAGTTTGGCCAGAGGAGACATGGTGGTCCAGAGGAATGCAGTAACATTAGAAGTCTTGAATGATATACTCTAGGGATGACTAGCTGATAGAAACAGATTTACTGAAGGGATCCAACACTTTCTTGTCTGGATATCCATTTGCTAAGACTAGAAAGAGGTTTTTTTGATCTTAGGCGTCATTTATAATAGGAATACAATGTCTACATACGTCCACATCCTTGTCCTTCTGCAGCAGAGATGAAGACAGCTCCTGAACCTGTCCCTCCAGCTCTCCCACCCTGAGGGTGAGAGTAGTCTTCTCTCCGCTCAGCTCTGTGATGAGCGCCTCCTTGGAGCAAAGATCTTTAGTCAGCTCCTCTATTAACCTGAACGCAGACAGAGGAAACGCCAGTGAGACAGGGAGGTTGGATTTGGTTTGATAGTAGTTGTGGTTGTGGAGATTTCTTAGTGTTTTGCACCTGTCTTTGTTGGTGTTGGATGGGAACAGGATGCTGGGAGGCCTCTCGTCCTCTGCGGTGTCCTCCATGGGGGTGTCTAGAGAGAGGAGGGAGGCGTGGGAGTGCGATCCAGCCAGCGAGACCATCCGCTCAGCCTCGCTGCGTACTAGCTGGGCCTCCTAAAAAACATACACATACAGTTAGGATTTGTAAACCTGATGCCGCTGTGTGTCAGTTCAACCAACAGTTGTGTGAGCAGACGAACCTCCTGCAGGAGCTGAATCTTAGTCTCAAGCACTTGCTCCATGTGGTCGATTTCCTGCTGTCTCTCCCGACACCGTCTCTGCAGCTCGGCCTCATTGTGATTGGTCAAGCTCTCTGCTGTAATGCTGTTCAACAAGGAAAGAGGCAAGTCAGAGTTGATCACAGGTATCGCAATGACTACAGCCCAAATCAGCTCAGTTTGAATGCACACACTAATGTAGCCAGTGGTGTAAGCATTAGAACATGATGCAGAGCCAAGACACAAAGATGTCATCACTCTCCTGTCTGCTACTGTGCTCATGGGAGACCCAACACCTTTTCCACATGGTGTTGGCTTTTGTTGTCATGGTTAGTGGCGTTCACATAATCTGTACGTGGTGAAAGGTTAAAAACATACAGCATATGATGCAATTCAAGTCCTTTTTCCTTTTGTAAGTGGTGTCCAACTCAATTGATACAGACTGTGAAAGCTACATAATACATACATATGAACATTCTAAACTTTCTGAAATGAGAAATTTCTCACACTCATCCTGTTTCTTTGTATTCCCAGTTCACGACATAAGTGTTCTCCTCCTGTGCGAGCACCTGTCTATATCTGTCTTAGTCAGTCAACAACGCCATCCCAGAATTTCTACTCCCAGAATGGCACACGCCACAATGTCGCCATGAGTCCTGCCCTGGACCCTCTCTACGTACATTTTTAACTCTGTCCGCCACATGCAACAGCTCAAATAGCTGGGATATTTTCAACCAGTATGAGTAATGCAAATCTCTCTCTCGTGGACAAGTGTCCTTTATGTGTAGTGGACAAGACCTTCATGCTAAGCGCCAGCCTTTCTGCGAGATGTCAGTAATCTTGGTCTGTCAACAATACAAACAACTGGATGACAACTTACAACACTACCGAGAAATAATGTGAAGCTTCAAGTTCATGGGACTCAAGACGCTCAGGCACGAAGTGTTGGTCAGACTGGAACAATACTACAGAATGTGAAGAGAGGGAGCGACAACGGCAACAAAAATAGAGACCGGTAATACAAACCATTTAGTCCTTTCCAAGAGCACCAACAATAATGAACTATACCTATTTAAAGGTCAACAACCACGATCTCGGTCAATTTCAGCAGTAACGCAGGCCGACAGCTGTGAAAAGTAAGACATACAGAATGATGACTGAAATGACCCAACCCAGAAAGACCACCACCCTGGGTTACATTGCACATGGAATCAACCATACTCCAGCAGCAGGTTCAAGCTCCATCCTGGAGCAATAGAAGCCCAGCAGGTAGAGGAGGACGTGAGTTTTAAGGGAATCAACAGTATAAAAAGGGACTACCGGTAGACATATAATCACCTGAGACAATTCTGATGAGTCCCCTGGTTAAAGGGCAGTCTTCCTCATTATCGTGTCACATTTAGATTAACAGCAGTTGTTACAGCCTGTCGACGATAATCTTAAACAAGACTTTTGTAACATGTTAGGAGTTTAAATTGTGGGTCTCATTTGTCTATCCATGAAGGCTTATGTGTGTCCTCAATGTGTGTGTGTGTGTGTGTGTGTGTTATCTCTTTCAGCTGCTGCATGACATATGAGCTGTTGGAGATATGAGGTGTTGCTACAGTTAGGACAGGACCATGGAGCCAATACCCATAGATGGAGGTGCACATACACACACACTCCAACACATCTTACACACAGTATTATAGAGGATTCATCTTTGTTATCAAAGCCTAAAAGTAAAACAAGATTGTAGGCATTGTAGCAACTTGTGCATCTGCCCACCAGTACGCACTATGTGCCGTATTAATCAAAGTATATGTGACCAAAGAAAACATTAAACTTTGGATCCCATAATGTTACACAGACTATTGATGAAGGCTCTCTGAATAAAGCTAGACAGTGTTACATTTTTCAAAGATAGTCTTTTGACTTCTCAGTTAAGTTTTCTTTAGTGCTCTGTATCTTTAGATAATTAGTTGTTTTGACACCAACATTCACACTTACAGTACAAACTGTATAATCTGAGGTTATTTAAGGTTAGGGTTGCACATTAATAAATAATCATGATAAAAAAATGGAAGACTTACAGTGCTTTGTCCAAAAGCTGCTGTTTCTCCTGGAGCTCCTGCTTCAAGCTCTCTACTTCCACCTTCAGCTCGATGTTCTGCAACAGATGAAAGTAGTAGAAGGTTAGTCACTGGTCATGAGTTAATCGGTCATTACACATCATCAAACATCTCCTCCAACATCAGCGTTAAATCGTGCACCAGATAAATGACAATTTGTAATTATACTGTAGTATCAATGATAGTGGCCAATTACTATAATATTCCTGTTAAAGTGATCAAGAAGCCTAATACAATATTGGCAAAACAGATGACACAGATTTATTCTATACATTCTGTAATTTCATACAATTACATAAAGAAAACCAAGTTACAATATATTTTGGAGATACGTCGCACACCTGATTCATCATCAATAAAAAAGATCTCATCACTTTGTGTAGGGTGTGCCTGTTCTGTATATCTGAGGTTCAGTTACAGATTCTGTATTTTAAAAAAAAAAGGTTTTTAATATGTTTGACACGCTGTCTTTCATTGTTTTTATATTCACTGGGTTTGTCTGCATCTAAAGAGTACTTTTCCTGTTGTTTCTTACATCTCTTCATCACAAACTAGCCTCTCTGTCTCTGTGTGAATCAGGCTCAGTACAGAACATGTGACCGTGCTGTCAGGCCTGGTATATTTAGAGCTGGTGAATTCAGTGCAGCTCAGATTTTCACCTTCGGGGGCCAAAGGCTAAACAGTTTGTTTACCTGCAGGGGTCCACATGGGACATTTTCGAGCCAATCAGGGCTCTTACACTGGGGAACAGAGGATTCAAACAGCAGGATTGGTGGGGCTCATTCTTTACGTTCTGACCTTAGAGAGCCGCAAGAGGACAGTTTATTCGTCTGTCTGTCTGCTGGACTCATCTGATAGCTGGTTTTATCACTACAGCTTGGCTCGTGTTCATCTCAACAGATGGTCCACTATCTCTTGTCCGTCATCTTGATTTATCTGAGTCTCGGTCCATGTGTCTGTCTCTCCTGTCCTCCCTTGTTCTTTCTCTCTTTTTGTCTTAGAAACTTTTTAGTATATGTTAAAGCATGTCCAAGCCTGTTGTTCCCCTGTCCCTGCCAGAGAGCTTCATGCCCTTAACACTCACAGAGAGCCGGGCTACATGTGCACCAACACTCACAGCCTGAAGCCATACTCACATTTCCCTGAGAGGCACCATGAGTGATCAACACGCACATACTACACATACACACAATACACATAAACTGGTCACGTCAAATCAGAAAGTGACAAATATCCGTGGAGTTTAGGTTATTTGAAGTTAGTTTTTTTAGCAAACAAAATACAAAAAGAAAACATTTTGTTTCTCAATATCATCGTACATTTAATTAAATTCGTAAAACTATACATGTGCACTAAGAAAAAAGGACAGCAGAAATTAATTCTAAGGGACATGAGGTTGTGTTTAGAAAATTAGAAAAGCTATGTATTTGATTCATTAAATAATGTTTAACATTTGTTTAACGTTTTAAAGGCTTGCACATATATTTTTTCAGGTAAGGCTGTATAAGGACACAAAGCTCATGTTTATAATTAATTTTCTTTGGACTAATTAATCTGACAAGAACTCAACTGTGCAGTCAAGTAATGCAGCAGCAACTAACTTATGAAGCACATGACCGGCCATGTGCTCTGCATAGCTAATGACTGTAAATGATTCACCTAAATGCTCTGATAATAAATGAATGTCACTCACAAGCCACAGGAACACGTGTTTGTTTGTTTGTTTGTTTGTGTGCGTGTGTGTCAACAACTTTGCTTACAGG